ACTCAAAATGTTTTCTTCCTTCTTGAACACATTAAGCATTGGGAAATTCAGACCCAGTGTAAATGGAAGCTATTCCCATGGAAATCCTTGGATCATATTCAACAGTGATATTGTGATAGTTAATAAGTGGTGGTGTAAGGGAGAATGGGCATATCCTGGTCCTCTTACTCTCTTTTACATCCTCCTGGAAATTGTTTGTCCTGCACTTTCCTCCTTTCTGTTCCTTTCCAGGACAAGCTGCATGCATTTTACTTCCCAACTGAATGCCCAATCAGTGCAAGTTACACAACATCGTCACTTGCACCTGTTTTCTCGCCAACTTAGAACTTTGCAGCTTACACCAGTGTTTATGTCACTGCTGACTCTAGGTTGGGGTGTTTCTTGAGGATTATGATTTATGCCTCTAAAAATATAGTAAGAAATTAAGGATATTATGTGTACTCCATAGAAAAAACATCAAATACTCTCGATATTTTAAACTCCCCAAATTAAAATAACCTTGGCCCTTGTTACTAAGAATCATATAAACAAGATAAAAGAGAACAAACAACACTGTACTGCCAGACAGATTTCTTTACGGTTTCCTCAGACAAATAACTTATTAACATTAGGCAATTTTAAGTAATGTGTATATTATTGAGAACCTTATCCTTTGTTTAAGAAAGTATGGCCTAAGTGTGTTCATCTCAAATGATCATATGTTTTTCTGTAAGTATATGTCAGACATATGCGAATTGTTGACAGCTTCTTACTGAGATAGACACATTTCAAAAAATGGACTTTCACAACTGCAAAGAAAAAAAGTTTTACATTAGGATGTTACTTACTTTGTGTCTTTGTCCTGGGAGAATGCAACTAAAGAAACCACATTTAAAAATCAGACATTAGATATGCAAATATGTGTTCAGATCAGAGATACAAAAATTATTCAAATGATTAATTATTCATCATAAAAATGTCAATTAATAATTCTGAAGCATAATAGGCATCTTTCTAATGCATCTTTATTTTTCAGGCCTAAATACTGTTGAATCTCTGTGTTCAATTGCATTCTAACAAGTTTTTAAAAATTCAGCAAAGTAAACAACAAACTAAACAAAAGTGAGCAGTGAATTTTAATAACCACTAACTCAGCCAGGAAATGTGCCCAAAGTTCAGCATCAATCCCACAAGAATAGAAAGAACAAGTACAGCTCACTATGCCAGACAACAAGCTCTAAGTAACCGGCCTCACAAACCTTCCAAAAATTGCATTCTCCAGCTATTATCAAACGGTATTCCAAAGTCACTGTCTCTTGTTTATTTAGCACAAGGAGCAGTCTGTATCCTGCAAGATGGGCCATGTTGAACACCATTTGTTCAGCTACAGTTGAGAGAAGTATATTACATGCATAAACAAGGCAAGGCTGTCTTATAAATGACTTTATACATAAATTAACAAATACATGAGACAGATAGATTTATCTTTTACATGGAGGCACTCACAGGAGACCGGATACCTTAGAAATGCCCACAGAGAGGTAAATTAAATAAAGCTAAACAATCCTTTCCCTTGCCTTGGGTTTTTCTGCATAGGGACTTGGAAACTTTTTGAATGTTGACTCAAGGGGTTTCTTCCAAATATCCCCTCAGTAGGTGCAAGGTCATCTTTCACTCCCCTACTACCGAAATGGAAACTAGTCTTTCCTCCCTAAACCTGGGATCTACAGATCTCAGGACACCTGCATGAAGCAGGAACAGCCACATGGAGGCCCAGGGGCTCTGCACAGCTCCCTGTCTTCCCCTTTCCCAGAGAAGGCATTCCGCACACACACACACACACACACCAGGTGACTGCACAAAATCCCCCTTCCCTCATATAAGAGGCCTGACCAGTAGGGATTTGTGCTTCAAAATAAACCTGCACCCAAGAGGATCATACAGCTTGCAGCAGCTGCTCCCCAGCTCCTTCCCATCTCTGCTTCTGTCCTCCAGAGTTCTGCAATATGAAACCTCGAGGGAGCTAGAGACAGAATGGAGCAAAGCTGATGTTCTCCCACCAGGACAGGTTTAGCTACTAAATCTGCACGTTGCCTACACTTCTCATAATATTCATAATCTGTGGCACTGCAATGGCTGAAAGGAATATACGAGCCCTGCCTAGACTAGACAAATAGATCCAGTCTGCTTAAACACTAATATAGACAAGGTTTAACAGCTTTAGATGGCCCTGGTCTTGATAGATTGTAGAGGGAAGCCTAAGAGACAGCTAACAAGTTTTACAGGTGCTAAACCCTATCTATGCCAGCGTTTCAATGGTGGTAGTTAAAGCATGTTCTCCAAACACATTTTTCAATGCAGCCTATTTTTTCCAGTCTAGCCATGGCCTTGGATACTTATCTATGGATTTAGGTGTTTAACTTCAGGCACTTTAGTGTGCAAATTACCCTTCTAATCCCTCCCCCCTTATTTTTCAAACCGTAATACAAAATTTGCACAACAAGCCAAAGGATAGGGACCCATGTGCAGCAAAAGCAGAGATCCCACCTTGCTACTTGTGATTAAAACTAACTTCATGAGATGAAAACGAAAATCACTGCTAGTAGCACAAATGAAATCCAGCCGCTTCAGGGCTTTCTCTCCCCAAATCCACCCTTTCTGGGTTGGGGGGGTGGAGTGCAACAAAACAGAGTTATTCTCCACATTACTTGTCCTTTGGTTGCTCCAGAGCAAGAGAGAGATTTCCCTGCCATCCTAGCGCACTAGTTTCACATTGAGACATTACTGACGTAGATTTCAAAGTAAGGCCAAGGTCCTCCCGGGCCTAGCTAACCCACTTGATACTTAACCACATTAAAAACGAACCACATTACTGGGGGTGAGACCCAGCCCCCTCCCACACACACACACACACACACCCTGTTTAAGAGTTTCTCAAACCCTCCCATTTCCCTGTGTCCCTTTACGCTGCTGTAGACTGTCAGCTCCTGTGGGCTATCTGCCCTCGCAGCCCCTTTCTCATGATAATGAGCCCCTAGCAACACCTCAGCTGAGGCTTGCGCCACCAACACACAAGCGGCCAATAACCCCCTTTTTAGCAGCCAGCCCCCCACAAACCGGAAACAGGGGGGACGAGCTCACGTGGTTTTAAAGCAGGCGCTGGGCGAGAGGGAGCTGGTGCAGGGATGGAAGGGGAGGAGGGGGGTAGAGAGGGGTCTTTAGCTCACATGGCCCCTCACGTGTGATGGATGCAATTGACAAAGGGAAAATCATTGAAGGGGAGGCAGCAGCCCCGCCAGCGCTGGTTGCATTTGTGGCATCAGTCAGGCACGGTTTGTATCAATTCAGGACAGGATCGTTTTATGTGCCCCGAAGTTTCCTCTCTTTCACTTTTCACACAGGAAAAGTTGGGGGAGGAGTGAACTCCACCCTGTGAGCTGGCCTTAAAATTGGGTCTGATCCACCCTGGTGCAAAAATCTGAGCTGTGCTGTGCAAAAATGGGTTGGGGTTTGTTTTTTAACGGCTAGGGAAGACGTCATAATTGCAAAGTTTAAAATAAAGACAGAGACTCTTCATCTGAGGCTGTGTGGAGAGAGCTGATTAATTGCAATCTGCTTTCTACATTTATGAGAGAATGTGAGAGATGCATTGCCAGCACCACCCCCAATAAAGGCAATATCAATAGCCACTGTCATTATTTCCATATCTTAAAGAAGCTGCACGCCCAATATTAGTTCAGTCCAGGGCAGGAAATCATCGCCTGGATTAAGGCTAAATTCCTTCTCAGAAGGATTTAACTGATTGTTACATGTTGATGTCTTGTGGCCAAAATAAAAAAAAATAGCAGCCCCATATGATAAATTTCAAAGAATGTCTAATAAAGTCTTGAATGTTATGCCAATCCGGAGAAGATCAGAGCATTTTATCTCTATGATCCTTGTGTGCTGGGGGTGCTTTAAGAGTTACAGAAACTGTCAGATTGAGCGGTGGAGAGTCTACAAAATTATGACCAGAGATTATTCGACAATACAAAAGTGTTCCCTAAAGCCCATGAATGTAGGCACACGGTCTGTTTTGCCTCTCTCTCTCTGTGTGTATAGATATAATATGATAAAACATCGATCGCAGCATTATTGCAGGTTAAAGTAGAGCTTCTTTTAATCCATCCACCCACCCTCTCATTTTATAATCTGGAACTTTAGGAATAATATGTAAGGCGTTTGTAATGGGATTAATTTATTTTAAGAACTTGTTTTCCATGTAGGACGTGAGTGACTGGAAATTGGACGACTCAGTAATTGGCATTCACTTTTTTTTTTAACATATGCATCTAAATTCAGTTTGACTCTTTAAGGAATTAGCAGAGTGCCCTTGATTTATAGTCAGTGTCTTATGGATCTGAGAGGATCTAATTCAAATTAATAATACTTTGAATCTGATTTCAGGATATTTGCACTATGCCACATATTTCATTAAGATGTTATCACTCTTGTCTGTATTGGTGTATCTCTGCTTCTATATATCTATAGTTATATCTAGAGATAGATAGATCATAATCCTCCAGCCAAATATCTTTGACATTCAATCAATAGTTATGCTAAAAGTTTTAGCACAACTAACCCAGTTCACCCTAGGAAAGGGCAATAGAGCCTTTGCTCTCGCAGGCATAATTACAGAGCTTATTGTTATCAGTTCATCATGTATTAATTTAAAACAATTCAATTTAAAAATATAACTGGCAGCTCTTAAGAAATCTGCTCTTTAATATTTATACGAGAGCCTTGTATAAGATATACACAGACAACTGTTTCATTAGCTATTTCATTAGGTCATTTATACTAGTGTTACCAACATTTTAAAGACTCTGCTCTTAATTTCTCCTCTATACCCGACCTGGTAGAGACTTGACTTGGTGGTTTAAATTGGTACCTGGTCGGGTAGGCTAGTAATGTCCATTTATGGAAGGTTGTCAGATCTTTGCTCGGTGAATGACAACAGAGAAGCAGCAGAAAAACAAACTCTGTGAGCTGAGGATTTTATTTGGAACTGTTAAAAAAAGATTTTGTGGTTATTGCTCTAAAATCTGCCTACACTAAAGACATCTCAGGTTTCTAATAACACTCAGTTTATATTCATTAGTTGCATTGACAGTTACAGTCCCCAGATGTGTCCAAATCCTATACTGTAACCAACTGTTCAGTCTTCCCTATTTCCCCCAAAATTGTGTGATCGGGCGATTGCCAGCGCAGTGCATTCAGATTTGTTTTTTAAATCGGAGGGTAGCTTTATTAACAGATAAAAATATTCATCAGATCTCTGAGGAAGCGATGATTTGCAAATGCACTTTGAAAGGTGTGCTCTGATCAGGAGCATTTTTGAATGCAATTGCTAGTGACTATTGCTAGCATTACAATTCTTGCTTTAGGCACACATTCAATGCACAGTTCAAGAGCAGTTTATCTTAGCTTAATGTAAGTAAAAGTATAGTGTCGGATCAGTGTACCATTTGTTTCAGTTTACTTCTGGGGGGGGGAGTGCAGTAATAGATTTAACTCTGTCAAAGAAGGGAAATTCATACGGAGCCCGCTAATACAGCCCCTTGGGCAGCTCCACGTTTACCTTCAGAAAGATCATACAAACATGTAGGATTTGAAGTTCATCTTTACATTGAGAGTATGTAAAGCTCTTCCAGAGAAGGAACCGTATGTGAGTTCTGTGAAGAGCTGGGCATGAACTGATCAAGGCTCAGAGATTTTTCCCCCTTTTCAGATAAACGCCTTTGCTGACCGAATTTAGCTGTCTTTAGTTACTTCTATATTAGTTTCCAATTATGTGCAGTGCAAACCAGCTTTTTGATTAACAAAACAGCAGAGCATTGGTTAAGAACACTTAAACTTCAAAAAAAAATCCCCCTGGGAAGTGGGCTCTGAATTGGTTAATAATGTGCAGTACTTGCTAAATTGCTGACTTCCAGATGTGGAAAATATCTTTCTTGTTTAGGACCTACGTACCCTGATTGGATTACGACAGAAGCGTCACATTGGAAAGCTTTTGAGTGATGATTTAATTAACCATACAGTAGAAAGCTGTATTTGCCAGGAAACCCCTTCCAGATTTGCATAACCAATCCCTCCAGTGCAAAGGTGGAGTCTGTTTTTAATATTATTAGTATTATTATAATTATTATTATTATTTTCCTGTTTTAAAAACTGTTAAACTTGTTATCCCCACAAGTTCAGTACCACTCACCCAGTCACTCTAGCTAGCTACCTCCTTCCCCCCAAAAAGGGAAGAGAGACAGAAAAAGAGCCATTTCACCCCATGAGCATATCTGGGAACAAAACAGAAAGAATGTCAAATCTCACGTTTTTCACCAGATATAACGGACAATTCAAATAAGATGGTTGAGCCTCGAAACAACAACAAACAACAACAACAAAATGATCGGAAGTCAACTCGGTGCCTTTTTTCAATTCAAATACAGTGTTTAGTTTCTACCCATAATTTTGAGCTATGGTGTGCTCATCTGAAAGAAGGGGGTAAGGGGTGGAGGGGGGACTGAGAAGGAGAAGGAGACTTCCCTGCTAGAAACCATGCTGACACAGCTACCCAAGTCAATGTGCCTGCAGAATCTGGCCATTAGAGCTATCTCTGTAAAAAGAAGTAGGGATCTTGATTGAAAGACACAGGATCGCTCCCTTTAACTTTCAGTTCCTTTGAGTTATCCAGTTCTGTGAATGGTGTTCACCGTTTTCCGCCGTGTATCCAGTAGGATTTAGTGAAGAGGATAATGATGCCAAAGACTTGATGGGTTGGGGGGGGGGGGGGGGAGGAGGAGGGAGGAAAGGGAGCGAGGGTCGGAGAGAGGGAGGAGGGAGTACAGAGCGGGAGGAGGTGGAATTTCATTTCTTCCACTAAAGCGTTTGCGGAGACTTCAAGGTATAATCTATCCCAGATCCTTTCCCAGAGAGAAACTTGGCGATCACGTTTCCACATGATGCTCACGTTTGGTGCTCTTCAATTATCCCTCCCCACAAAGATAGGTGGCGTGTGTTTCAGGGTCTCTCCTCTCTCTCCTACAGAAAAGAAAAAGAAAAAAATGTCATTAGAAGAGGCGTAACACGTCAGTCCGTCCCCAGGTTTGTGTTTCCTGGAGTGGCAGAAAGAGATCAGTCCTAACCTGCCCAGCAGGAATAACGGTCCTTCCGACAACTCTTTGCAAGGCTTTTTACAAATTCTCCAGGAACTGCATCTCCCTTCACCTTTTCTCCTCCACTTCGCGGCTTCTTCATGCTTTTTCTTCTCACCATTTCTGGCCAAAACTACAAACAAGACTTCGCAGGTAGGTTCTGAATTTAAACATTTCTTTCTTTCTTGTCTTTTCCCCCCTTTCCTCTGCACCGTCTCATTTTTCCCCATTTTTCTTTTCTTTTTTTATTTCGAGTGTGGTGGCTTATTCAGCTTGTTTATAGTTGGGGAACCTCATTTTGAACTGAAATGTAAAGTCACTTGGCACCAGTTTCAGGAGGGGTTGGCTCTTTTATGGCGAACCGTTCTCTGTTGTTATTCACCCACCCCCCCGTACCTGTCCAGCCAGGTAGTAAAGGTGTCTTTTGCAATTATGACAGTAAAAGTTTTAGTGCAAGAAAAGGAATCCATTCTTTCAAGCAACCTCACTGTTCTTGTATTTTAAGATTCACATAGGATCATCTTAAAGTTTGCATGTACCTGTTAGTAATTTGCACGCACTGTGCATGCACAAGAAGCACGGTTGGACAGTATTTTAGCTCCAGCTTGCTTTTAGAAGTCCCAGCAAAGATGTGTTTCCCCAGACTGAAAGTTTGCTGTTTTGTCTGCCTAGTAAGTTTCATTTCTTTATTTTATTTTGTGAGGCTGGGTGAAGTAACACCTCAGGTTCTGGGATCCCAAAGAAAGAAGTGAAAGTAGTGACTGGAACTTAAAAGTCGTTTACAAAAAATAGTCAATCCAGCTGGGAAGAAAACCGTTCTCAAGAACCCAAGATTGAAAATTATTGGCAACTTTTCTTGCTAATGCTAAGGAGCAGAGCAGATATTGAAATACATTTAAAACTATTCGCCATTGGTCGTTTTGCATTATTACGCCAATTGTCGAAGAAAGCTTACAGGTCCGGGCTTTTATGAATTTGTTTATCTCCTACCTACTTTCATATATCCTGTGCTTGGTCTGTAATGATGATGTAGAGATTACAAGATGCAGAGCAAGAAATAACTAGCAAATATAAAGTTTTTGCACGTATTCTCTCAATCTCTCCCTCTCCCACACACATGCATTCATGCCCATAAAACTACCAGTTTACTTTCTCAACATGGATTCATTTGCTGTAGTCTGTGAGTAAACATACTGATCTTGTACAATCTGCATATTCACATACACTTACCTGCACATGGATTTTTAAAGCAACCCTGTTTTATAAACAATAGCCCAAGAAAGGCGAATTCAGAGCAAATAAGACACAAGAGAGCAGCACACTTAACTGATCCATCCTGATATAAATCTTTACTAAAGTTAAAATGGAAAAATCATAACTAAATCCACTTTGGTGCAAAATGTGTTGAGACAGGTCATCAGTTTCTCGGTTTTGTGTAAAGCTTTATAGCATAGGAGTAGACAATAGATGCTGAGGCTAGGGTGGATTTTGTTCAGAAGAGCAAGGGTTAATTGCCCTTGTTTTACAGTTTGCATCTGTTACATCTTTTATAGCCCCCTGTTTAAACTAATCCTCAAGTCAAAGCATCTTTAAAGCTACAGTATCTTCGAGATAGACTTAGTTTCAGGAGCCTTATATCAAGCAAACCAAGTGCTTCCCCACTCTAGTTTTGACAGATTCAGTCTCAAATAAAGCCTGCATGTGTAGACAGATGTAGGTACGAAAGTTTACAAGTCGAAAAGGATATGATCATTTAGAAAGCCTGAAAACACTGACAGCAGTAGTTTTGATTTCTGTTTCTTTTCTCAGGCGGGGGGGGCGGAAGACAGGCTGAAGGTTTGTTTAATGGGCAGGGGGAAACCCTACAATGAATATTGTCAAACTGACTAAAAAGGTGACAGAGGTTTATAATACACTTCTCATTGTTGGGGGGAGGGGGTAGAAGTGAGGTCTCAATCCTGCGCCTTACCCCACAGGGGAGGGGGAGAGAGAGCGAGCTATGTTTCAGCTTGCCGAAGTGCGCTAACAGAAATACAAATAAAGATAAAGATAACATTTCATGGGAGAACAAGTTGCAATGTCAGACTAAAGTACTTTTAGGAGGAAATGGTCCGCCTAGCATTGAGTCAAACAACCTACTGTACGAGCCTGTGCATTCCCTCATACGGTCATGAGTTATGACTCATTTTGAAGATGTAATTCTTGTCTCTCTGATCTCCTTTGCTGTGCAATACAAAAAAAATTAAAAACCTGGCCGGCTGGGAAGGAAGGGGGTCAATTTAATCTCTGCTCCGACCTCCCCCAGCACGGCAAGTCTTTGTGTGTGTGTGGATGGGTTCCTTTTGGGGGAAATATTTGGGTTCCCTTTGGCGCCCTGCATTTAAATGGGATATACCAATGCCCACATTGTTGCTGTGTTTGGTTGTTACATAGAGTCTGCGTGCTGCTGAATCAGGGAGTCGAGTCCATGCGAACTGCCATCTGATCCACTCTTATCAATGAAGCAGCAGATCATGGCGGATGGCCCCAGGTGTAAGAGGCGAAAACAAGCCAATCCAAGAAGGAAAAACGGTAAGAAAACCCTGAATCAAACTTTTCCTTTCGACTCCACTAGAGAGATAGAGGGGGAGAGGGAGAAAATACCACCCAGCAGCAACCGCAGCAGCCCGGGGTTTGCTGGCGATCGCTTTCTATGTGGCGGAGGAGAGATCCGCCTGTTGTATATTTCTGGAGGGGAGAGAGAGTTCAAGGGAGTCCCAGGGAAAGTGAGTGTCAAAGAAGCCGGAGGATCCCAGCCCTTCTCCCCGGGCGCAGTCCCAGTCTACCCGAGCGCTCCGTATCCCCCTTACCCCCCCTCCCCCCGGACGCCTTTGGAGAAGTCCGATCAAGTGGGCAGAGTCCCAGATCTTGGGCTTCTGTAGTTTGAGTTCTGCAGAATCACTGGGCGGTTTGGAAGGAAAAGCTAGAGACTGAGCGAGAGCCCCAGGAAGACTGTGTGGCTTAGAAAGGCTGAAAGTTTCTTGCCTGGGTCCCTGCTCTATCTAACGGTCCTGGGCTCTGTGTCTCTTGCGCCTGGCTTCTCACAACCCCCCAGGACCCGCTGGAGTCTCTCTCTCTCTCTCTCTCTCCTGCTTTTTTTCCCTTTGACCGCTGCCTGCAGTGGCAGAATTACTTCCCAGACATGTAAGTCTCACACAGACCAAAGCCACTTTCCGGCCAGTTTTCATGTTGGCAGAACCACTTAAGACATGGACTCTAGTGTCAGGGGGAAGAGAGAGACGAGAGGGGGCGGAGAGATATTTTCAATAGTTCCAGTTAAGGGGGGGGGGAACCACGGAAAAAAACATATTCCCTGGGAAAAAAGGCACCGTGAGAATCCTGAGCCACACTGGCAGGGAGTTCTTTACTTTTTAAAAATTGTTATAGACTCGAAAATGAAACTTCCTTCTCCTTAATCATTAAAAGAATGAGTTTCCTGCCCAATTGCCCATAGTTACCCTCTCCCCTGGTCTCTGCAGGCGACTGAGAGGTTGGGTTCAATGGGATGGGGTGTTCTGGTCTGATCTCACATTTGGCAGCTCTTCCCTGGTGTGGGTCTCTGTCCCTCCCTAGTTTCTTCCTTTCTTCGTTGGTTTGGAAGTCTGCCCCCCTCCCCCAGCCACCCTGGATCCCCTGAATGGACATCTCAGCCCTACTTTCAACAACTTTCCTCTAGAGATCAGGAGGAATGAAGATATTTGTGTGAACCTGAACCCATTTGCTTATAGCTGAGCTACTTCATTTAAGTGGAGAGGTGGAGTGGGGGTGGAAGGAGAAAAACACAAAGACAAGAGAATGTTGATTAGAAACAAATGATCCTTTCTCTCCCCCCTCCCGCCCCCTTCTCTCTCTCTAGGTTGCGAGTGTGTGTGTGTGTGTGTTTGTGAGTGTGTGTGTCTTTTTCTTGTTGTGGTGGAGGTGTCGAGCCATATGGGGGAGTGATAGAGGAATTTTAGTCAGAAACTGTTCTTTATGTTACCCTTTGTGTTGTCTTTGATCTATTTGCTTGGCTTAGTATTACAAAAAAAACCAACTAAAACAATATATTCCGAGCAGCTTCCCAATGATCCGTTCCTTGTTATCTTTTTTAAAGTCTCTCCCCCCCCCCATACACACACCCCGCCTTTACTCCTGTGTCTGTCATTATTTAAGGTGGTCCTCACATAGGAGACCTCCCCTTCCCCTCATCTCTGGGTAATTTAGTAGACATTAAAATTACACGTAATGTTTCCCTCTCCTCTCTTGTGTTTCCTCTGTTCTTTTTATTAAATGTTGGTTATTGATTTTCTAAAATCAATGTCTGTTGTGGGGTTTTTTTCCCCTTACAAGTATCTAAAGCACGTTGCTGATCAACTGGATAACAAAAGCTTTGTGTCAAGTAGCCTTTTTTCTTATGTTAAACAGTCATTTCTGAGAGGAAAGAGAATTAGATTTAAAGCAAGGCATCCAGAAGTGCTCTTTTGCACTAAAGAATATTCTGTTTGTTGTTTTAGCCTTCTTCTTTTATCCTTCTCGGTTCTCTTCAGACAACATTATTAGTTTAGCGTATTAAACCTCATCACATGTTCTGTGATGAGTGTGTGTATCGATGTGTTTCATGTTTTCGCAAAACAATTTGATCAGCAAAAATGTACAAACGATTTCCTAAAAGCTATATGGTTATGTATGTGGGAGAGATAATGAATGTAATGTGTACACTCAGTTATTGCACACAAGTCTTTAGTAACACATATGGACCGGAATGACATATATTCCGTTGCTCCATTGAAATTGTGTTTTCGTGGGGTGCAATAACTTATGAAAACCAGGAGAGTTGGGAGTAGAAAGTTTAATTGCCATTTTTAAGGTAACGGATCCTGCAAACTTCCTTTAAAGTGTGTGCATCGATTGCACGAAGGTCTAACTTCTCCCTTCCCTGTCTTGCTCCAACCAATGCATTTTTATTTTATTTTATTCCTTTTTGTTTTCCCCGTGTTTTTTTCTTTGTGTTCCCTAATCTGCTTCTTCCATTCATTTCTGAGTCAGAAATGTTCTGGTTTTGAGAGGCAGGTAGACTTCTTCTTCTTCTTCTTCTTCTTTCTTTTTTTTTTTCCATTTTCTCTCTCGACAAGCACGTATCCAATGCCTTCTCCTTTGGGGATTGCCCAGGATTTATCTGAACTGAGTGGATTTTTCTTCTCTCCTGGATTCATGGAAAAGATGTCACTTCTGAGCTTGTGTCTTTGCTGATAACACTAACTATGATGATGCTTATCGAAATCATATAGAAATTCCTTGGAAAGGCAATAGCATTAAATTTTTAAAAAGCTATAAAAATAGATGGGCATCAAGGAAACTAGAGTGATATAAATGTAACCAAATAGAAATGATAAAGGGGATCAAAATAGAAGAAACCAAGTAGTACCTAAATGTGTTATATGCTCTGTGTGTGGGTGGGTGTAAGGATGGTCAGGACTCAGGATTAGAAACGATGCTGGATAAAATTCCTATAAGGCTAAATAGGGTAAAAAGAAAAAAAAAGCTTAGGATTTTACAAGATAACGGAATTGATCAGAGCTGGAGAGGAGAGTGATGCAGTAGGGCAGTGTCAGGGAAACGTGTGTGTGGAGGGTGTGGGAGAGGTCATGTTAAAATAAATGGTCATGGGGGGAACCATCCCCAGGAAAAAAAATGTTAGAGAGAAAAGTCTAAAGAGAGGGGAACAGGAGTAAGGGGGTGGAAGGTGGGGAAATCAGAGGAGCCCGCAGCCCAGGAATGTGTGTCGGTTTCAGGAAAGTTCAGTCAGATGATTTCCAGTCGCCTGACTCACTTTGTAACACTTTCACTGAAGGAGAGAAAACCCAAAGCCCCCTTCTTCCCCCCCCCCCCACTCTGCACTTCCTCCCCACTTTCAGAGTGATCGCTCTCAGACTGATAACCAAGCTGCTGGAATCGACGCAGCAGCGACGTTTGAAACTTACAAAGTTTGGCGTTTGCTGTTGGTGTTGCCCCTGTTTGTAACTGGAGCGGTCTCACTGGAGATGCTGCCTCATTCTCTCTTCCTGATGCACGCAGAGCCTTAGAAATAAGGGGAAGGGGATTGATTTCTCATCACTCCCTCTTTCTCCTTCTCAGGGAGAGATGACTAGGCACAAACACGCTTTCCTTAAAACAAATCTCTCTGGCATGGCATGAATTGGGAGTTGAGTTGTCCCCTTTAAAAGCAAAAATGTTTGGGGGAGGAAGAGGAGAAAAGAAAAGTTGGGTCTAATTTTCTCCAAAGTTCCAGTAGACATCTCTCTCTGATTTCTTTGCCATCTCGCTTCCAGTTGTAAAGAAGAGGGAGAACGTTCAGTGCTTCCAAGGCGTCTGATCCGAAAGGAAATACGGACCAAACAAGCAAACACAATTATTCCCTTTAAGAACGTTAACCAAAAAGACATCCACCCACCTCTTTCTAGAGATGCTGGGGAAGAGGGAAAATTCGAATTCCCTTCACCCTTTAAAAAGAAAAAAAATCTAGCTAGAATCTCTGGGTAATGAGAAGTGGGCTTTGTTTTGCCTTATGGGAAAAGTTTGGAAATAACTAGAGTCTCAGATACAAGGGTGCTCCCTAGTAAATTTTAGGTGGTACAAGTTATAGCGATCAACTGGGAACGTTCCTTTTTCGAGTTATCTTTACAAGTGTGAAAATCCGTTGCAAGTAGTAGATTACTTTTGAAGTTGATGAGATCATTGGGAGAATATCTTATTACCTCAAAAGGTACCTGGATATAGGTTTATTTAAAAAATATTATTTACTAAATGCAAGTGACCAAGATGTAATGAATATTTAAGTATATCTCGCTATACAGATTAAGTTTTGACACGGAACAGAGGAGGCTGTTATCTGAGCTATTGATTTTATTTTGAGTTTGGGGGGGAAAGAGTGAATTTGGATATTGTTGAATGCCACTGTTGAATAGCATATGTCATTTCTAGTAATTCTTCACTTGCTGTTACTGGTTTTGCCACAAGCCTCTTTAGCTATTGCACCTGATCTACAGATAAACTTTTAAAAAATCTTGTAAAATAAAATGAAATAAATTAAAGAATTAATTACCATAAAATCAATATTTTTTTAAAAAGGAACAGCATTGAAAATTAATTGTTAAATAAATATATACGGTAAACTGTCGAAGGTAAATAAAATATATGGAAGATTGAGAAACAAGCTATAAAACCATATTGAGAATATTCCCTAAGAAAACTGTGTCTACCCTTAAAGTAGAAAGAAGGGTGTTGATTCTTTTACAACAGCACCACATTCATTCCAAGAAATAGGAAATTCTTCGCCTCACAACAGTTTTTGGCATCTGCATTATCCTAATGCTTTTAAGGTGCATTTTCTCCTCTGAGAAAGAGAACTCTTTGTCCTTTTTACCAAGACCATGGCTTCCCAAGGTAGACACTATTTTGTGCCTGTCACATAGAAAGGGAGTGCAGGTTTGCAGTGCTCACAGACAATTGATTGTCTGCCCTAATGTGTTTCATTTACATGTTTATAACGTCAATAGTGCTGGGGTGTCCACTGTACCATTCATTCCAGCATTCCCACAAGGGTGCAATTGTCTGAATAGCCAAGTCAGACACCTTTTTGATTGCTCTTTAGTTGTCTTTTTAGAGTATAGAGAAAAAGGAGAGAAATCTGGGATGCAGAAACACTAGTTGAAAATATTTCAGAATTAAATGTCACTATTAAAGCAGATGTTAACATTAGGCAAATTATATATTTTAACTAAGATTCTAAAGGTGTAAAAAATCAAAACAGAGAGAATCGTTATTGAAACATGACTAAATCTAGTCCTGTTGCTTATTTTTTAGTCCTTTTTACATGATGTGTGATTTTCATTTTGCTTTCAGCCTCTGTAAACGCAGCCACCTCTTAACTCTTTGTATGCTTAACTGTAATTTGTGATTTTTCCCCTATATATTTACATATCTCTGTTTATGCCAACAGCGTCAGCTAACCACTTGGAAAATCTATTGAAAGAATATTTAGGCTGTGGGAAGTATAAACTTTAAAAAGTAAGATCCAAATATTTCTTCATCAAGCATTTTTAATGAAAAAATATTATGATGATTAGACTTTCCTTGAAGCATTTTTTACTTAAATAGCTGTGTGCCAACTTCCTATGTCTTTGGTTACAGTCTTCTTATGCTGTAAGCTCTGAGCAGAGTGTTCCTAGGAGTTCCAAAGTCAATAAAAGATTACTTTTTAAGGTGTGCTGTACTGTTTTTATATGCCACGCTGTCTTTATCATTTAAGTTCCTTCTGAGGGAGGCGAGATGTGATTGCATATGTCTACAATTTCATGTATGAATAAATAAACCTCACATCTTATTGAATCAGATAAATTATATGTGTAATATAGCCACATATAGTACATATGGATGCACCTAGGAAATAAAGGTTTCACATTTCAGACCTGGTCCCTTTCCCCCCTAAAATTTTTGATCCGAAGTGCTACAGTTAACCTATTTAGGCCATGGTCCATAAGGGTAGATAACCCTAACTCCTGTGGCATCTAATCTCCAGGGGGGACAAAACTTTTATAATTTTGTTGCAATTAAAAATTCTCTGCCCCCCCCCCCTTTTTTTTGGCCTGTTTGTGGAAAGATTTTTTCCCCTCCCTAACAGGGAAGACACACACAGTAGATGCACCGTTAGCTGAACCCCTGACACGGCGGTCTTTTGAATGCCTTAGGTATGATTTCACTTTCGCTCACATCAATGCTGACCTGAATGCCTTTCATATCTGATCCGCTGTGTCTCTCCCAGTAAACATCCCCTGAGGGGAGAACAAAGAAAGGAGCTCTTCTTCTTCTTAATCACAATTCAGCCCATTCACCGCCGGCAGGCTACATTTGCATTCTGCAACAGAAAGCCAAGATGAAAAGGAAAAAAAAGAGAGTGAGAAGAGGGGGGAAAAAGCAGAAGGGTGGAGGCTGAGTAAAATAACTTAGGTGTTTGTAGCTGTTTGTTGGGCTTCCCCTAGTTACAAGCCTTATATAGATCCTGCTCTACCCAGCCTTGGCTCTTCTGACAGGCAGATAGTGTTACAAGATGGCATGCCTGTGCTATTCATGGCCACTCGCACTAACACTTGAGGTAAAAAGTGTCAGAGAGGGATCAAATTCTACTCGGAGAAGTCTGTTATAGTTAGGGTCAGGTGTGTGTACTCTCGGCTCTTGACTGCTGCCTATTATTTTGTTTTAATTACTAATATTGTTTACTCGCCATGACCTTGGGGAATGGAGGTGAGGGAAATGTGGTCCACGCAGATGAAAAGATAGCAATGAAAGAAATGTCCTTTGGACAAAAAATATTTTTTAGTGGTAGGATGAGTTGGGCTGGCGTGTTTCTTTCCCTCGACAGGAGAAAAGGGGCAACTCTTTGGGAAGGAAAAACCTTTCCCAGTTTTGCGGCTGGCAATATGTCACATTTACTGGCAAGAGGGAAATAATAACCCAAAAACAAACAAACAACCTCCCCACCCCAACAAGATCACAAAACTGTAAAGGGGGAAATGTTTCATTTGTGTAAGTTTCGTTAGCCAAGTTTTCTCGTGTTTCTTGTATTCACAGCCACCTCCATATTTTCCCCCAGATTCCATGTCTGTTTGTTTTCCAGAAGCCACCCTGCGTTTCTTAGCAAGACAGTATTAAAAATTTGTTGAGGTTTTGGTTATATTCACTTTTTCTCACCAAGGGAAGGTTTATTTATAACTGAATCCTGCTTACTGAGAAGGATTTAAGCCCTTTCAGGCAGACCTGTCAAAATTTCCTATGTTGTTTGCCTCCATTTGCAACACGTAAAAAGTAATATGCAGTTGCTTGTGTTAGAATAACCAGGGTAGTGCAGAAATCTTAAGTGACAAGTTTTCAACTATACTATCTCCTGCCTACCAAACTGTCATTTTTTCAGAAACCGCTTTTAAGATACTAACAGTTTTTTCCCCCAATCAGCAAATAGATTAAATGTGCTAAAGCAACTTTGAGAGAGAAGAACAGTTTGAACAATCTGAAGCGGGGAGGGATGTTTTATTTTCCTATAGCTGCTATGGCAGATTTCACTCCTAGGGAGCACACTAACCGAGATGTTACCAGTTGAACAGAAGCATGTGACACAGATTCCTGATTTTTTCCCAGAAGATTTACAGAATTTACAAAAAGAGATTATCTCTACACCTTCCACCTCCCCTGCCCACCCCCATGACCCAAGCAATGGAGGATTTAGGCAGATTTACTTCAGTAAACACCTTTGGATACTTGGGGGAAAGTAGGAGTCTGTTTGCAAAAGGAGGCTTTTGTTAAGTGAGGTGCTGGGATAATGCTTTACCAGGCAGCTGTGATATTAACCTACCCAGTAACGCTGGAAAACTGTTTAACTCTTTGTGTGCTATACACTTGCACTCATCAGATAAGACTCGTGTTCCCGTTTCTTTGGAAGTTCCAAGTTATGATTGTTCATATAGCGGTTTGCATAACAGAGAGACAGGAATGAAAGCCTGACATTTTTTAGACCATTGAAGCTAGTCAACCAACAACATAGTTTTCTCATTAATAACTGAATCATTTGGGCTGAGCTATGGCTCCAATCAGATTTATGAATGGCGACAGAGTTATACCAAATCAACCTGAAAAAAATCCTTAGTGCATACCGAGGATACAAAAAATGTTTGTTAAACTTCAAAAAAAAAACAGTTGGAAAACTTGCAGGCACTCATAATAAATCTTTAAGATGATTTAGATGAATTTTGGACTCTGTCTTGAAAAGTAAAATAATCTTTTCTAAAAAAAAAAAGACACCATAAACTTGCAAACCTGTAAGGGTCGAGGTCTGATAGTCAGATCATCTCTGTTCCCATCTTTGAGGAAACCTGCAAGGTTTTCAAAGCATATAACCATTTGAAACTACACTTTCACGTTGTAAGGCTGCCCCATTTCATGGCCCCTACCACGGTACGCCAGATATGCCAGGAAGGAGTTAATAATGGGTTATTTTTTGCTGGGCATAAGAATAACTTTTTCAGGTGTTGCTTTTTTAGTTTAAATAAGATTGCCTTATTTAGTTTTCAAAAAGTGTAGGTGTCAATGTTAGAGCAGCCACAAATGTGTGAGAAAGCAAAGGGTATGAGACATGACAGAATTAAAGGTGTTTGCTATGTTGTTACCCGTGTGTCAAGCTGCAAGCTCCCTTTGTCACAGCCTTCTGGTGATTTGATAGTGCAGATCCACATCCCGTCTAGGTGATACAGCAGTTTTTAACTGTGGGGTTTTGATGTGCATGTGCACTCAATTGCTATTGCAGCCTTCCTCCCAAATTCCATTAAAACACCTTAGTATCTCTCTCTCTCTCTCTCTCTCTCTCTCTCTCTCTCTC